GTCGCCCGGGGTCGTCATGACTGCCAGGCACCGGGGGGGGGGCACACACACACACACACACACACACACACAATGCAAAAATAACAAACATGCCATTCTGAGCAATTCTGTTTTACATAGACTGCAGAACAACAAATGCATGGGAGCCTTCCTAATCTACTCAGGCAGGGCATTGCACGGGGGGAGGGGGGACACACAAGCACGTAAAGGCATTGGTTGATCTTATCGATTTGCAAGATGTTACCCTCAGGAGGCCGTGTTCATATGAGCCAAACTATCATGGTGCCACGTGGGAGGAGAGGCGGTCCTGCAGATCTGAGGGCCCAGGGCCATGAAGGGGTTTGAATACATCAACCTTTTTGGATTGGGACTATGGCACAAAGGGAGAGTAGGCTTAAGCATCCCCCTACATTCTTTTCCTGACCTTCAACATCCCCAGGAGCTGCTGTTTGCTCCACCGGGGAAAATTAATGCAAAGCCCATCAGTACATATTCAGTTTCCTCGATAGGGCAAATAGTGGCTCACTGGGCCATTTTACATCTGGTAAACTGCCCAAAGGGGTATGCTTAGGCCCCCCCACCTATGTGCCAAGGTCCCAATCCAAACTGTGCCCAGGTGCACCATGGATGCAGAGTATGTCTGCCGACCCCACCCATCAAGGAAAAGCGTATTGTGTACTTAGGCCCTGAGCCAGCCTCCAGTTTGTGATGCCCTGCTTGCTCTTGCCTCCTAGGATTCCTGCACAGACTGTGAACAGATTGTCACCATCCTCACTCGCATGGCCAAGGAGTCATCCTTTAAGGTAATTAGGAGAACCAGGTCCCGTTTACTATAGACAACCCCTCTTGTCTGCTCTTTCTCTCTGGCAAACATTACCCCTACTCTTGTCTTGGGGGCGGGGAGTAGGGCCATCTCCTTGAAATATTATTACTGAGGGCTGTTAGCATTTTCTTTTCCAAGCATTCAGCTCTCTTCTGCATGGGAAAGGATGCATCTGCCCCCAGGGCACGTCCATGTGAATGCCTGCACATGAATACTAAGGCTCCATGCACATTATACAATCTGCCACTTCTCACAGTGCAGGTACTGATATGTATTGTAGAACAATTATGGGTTTTTTTCAAGTTCAGCATTCAACAAAGGACCTTCCCCTCTTGGCCTTTGATTCAATGGATGGGTGGGCATTGCAAAGCAAGATTAATATAGCAGGTAGCAAAGTGGCTCCAGCAGTGGCTAAGCAGAGCTCATGAAGTGCTCCTTGGTATGAGAAGGGGGGGGGTTTACACGCACAGCTCTATTTTCATCTTTGACATATTGGACAAAAACTGTAACTTGAAAGTCCTGGTTTAAAATTCACAACGTTTGGCCTAGCAGCAGACCCACCTGGAGAAGGCGTTTCACAGATGAGGTGCCACAACCTAGAAGGTGCTCTGTCTTTCGCAGCCACCTCTCTCACTTCTGAACGTGGGAGTCACAAAACCGGGCTTGGGATGGAAGATCTAAGAGCTCAAGCAGTCACATATGGAAACAGGAGGCCTTTGAGATGCCTGATTCTAAACTGTTCAAGGCTTTAAGGGCAGGGATAGGAACTTTGAACTGAGCTTGGGAAACATAACAGGCAGGCAGCGAAGTTCTGTAAGTAGCAGCTTAATGTGTTGCCCATAATAATCAGTGGCCAATAGTTTTGTTGCTTCATTTGGAATCAATTTAAGTTTCCGAACCATTGTGCAGCTTTGCTAAATGGTTACAAATCAGTGAAGGTTTTGGGGAGGGAGAATCCAGTGGAAAAGGTGTCTTGGCAGAGTTTCCAGCCTCTAATCAGCTCCCCAATCACCTTCCCTCTGCATCAGTAAAGGTAAAGGTACATCAGCTATAATATACAACACTTGCTCTCTGAAGTGTCCAAGAGCCCCACCCTTTCTGCACATGAAACTTTGTTAAATCTAAGCAGGCCTGAGTCCTTGGAAACCCCCTCCTACCCCATACACATATGTCACCTCAATATCCATGGAGGGGAGATGGAATATAACTGAAAGCAGAAGTCAGGAAAGTACACAATTTACCTCTTTGCATAATTATCCTAATTCCAGAATTTGGGTTTTTCCAATTCTTGACCTCCTCTTCAGTTTTCACTAGACCATTGCATGATGTTTAATCAATTAAATCTGTATTTATTTCTATATACCTGGTCTTTGGTCCTGGGAGAAAGACAGGTATATTTAAAAAATAAATAAATATATTTTAACTATACACAGAATAACCAATTTAAAAAGTCTTCTTCTCCTCCTCATATATTTCTATATACCTGGCCTTTGGCCCTGGGAGAAAGGCAGGTATATTTAAAAAAATAAATAAATACATTTTAACTATAGACAGAAAAAACCAATTTAAAAAGTCTTCTTCTCCTCCTCCATCTCAGTGGTTATGGGAGGAATGCAACCCCAGGTTTTGCAAATGCAGGAGACCATGGGTTATCCGGCCAGTGCTGCACATCATTCTGCTGTCCAAACACCCTAGCTGTGAGTTGGGATGAGTGGTGGTAAAACAGACATCCCATAAGAGACAGCTCTCCCTAAGCTGACTATGTGAATAGCTGCCAGAGAGGCAGGCACAAGAGGAGAGAAGTGGGCAGACATCCCAAGCCTGCTCATATTGCCCCCTCCCCACCATTTCTCACTGTTATCCTCATATAGGAGTCCATCCAGAAGTACCTGGAGCATGAATGTACCACTTTGCCGCTGCAGACACTGGTCCCACGTTGCCAGACACTGGTGGATACATACTTAGACCTCTTCATCACCAGCCTGGAAGGGCAGATCGTAAGTAGCCCCAGTTGGACCAGCTCTGCCTCTAATCCTCTTAGTGGTTTAGTAACTTAGAAGCTGAGTGATAGTGGGGGGGGGAGCAAAGGTAGAAGTTGCTCTAGCATGAGAAAAAGTATGGAGGTGGAACAGGAGACAGACATATCTGGACTGATTGGCTGTGAAGATCTCCTGTACAAGGTTCATGGAAATGAACTATTTGCTCTTGATGCATGCAAGAGAACTTCCCTGAGCAGTGTTGCCCCGAGGTCCAGCTTTGCAGCTGCTTCGCTTTGCTTCTGGGCATGGCTGCCTGTGAAACAGGAATGGGCTATTAATTTCCCACCCTGGATTCTTGTGTCCCTTCAGAAGCCCCATTCTGTCTGCACAAAGTTGGGCCTCTGCCATTCCGAGCCCTTGGAGAGCAAGAACACCTTTGACACGCTAGTTCCTGTGGTGGAGCAGTTCTTTCAGCTCCTGCAAGGCAAAGCTCTCATCACACCCGACAGCCAGACAGAGGTAAGGACTGCTTCACTGTGCCAACCCTGCCAGATCTAGATGGAGGAGAACAAGTCTTCCTCCCCTAAGGCTAACCGTAATCATCTATGAGCCTAGGCATGAGTCCAAGGGGTGTGTCATGGCCCCTTGGTCAGGGCTTTGGCTGCAGAAATGTATTCCACAGTCTTCACCTGCCTGGAATTATCCACTGCACAAGAAATGCAATGAGGAAATAGGATGATGGAGATCCTCTTGCCTACGACACAGGCAACAACTCCAGTGGAGAGGAGGAGTTCAGTGGGCTCAACAACAAAAAGCTAAGGCGGGGACGACGACGACGATACCCATCTGTGAGCCTGGCCTGGCCAGAGCAGGACTGTTCAGGCCCAAGGAGCCACAGCCCAGATGGGGTCAACAGGTCAAAAACCTTGCTGCTCTAGGGCGAGCAATGCACTAAGCCTGGAGCTGCTTCTATTTGGCTCTTATTGCTTACATTTTTTCCTTTTCTTAGGAGAATCCAGGGGAGGAGCTTCCCATCCCCCTGCCTCTTTGTTGGTTGTGCAGATCTTTTGTGGGCAGGATTGAATCCTTGATCCCAAAGGTACGGGAGCCATTTTCCTTCTTACAAAACAGGCACAAGCTGGTGCAGAATTCAGCAGCCTGCGCATCTAAGTTTTCTATCTTAAAACGACGACGATGGAGCTGTAACCCGACAGAATTAATCCTGTGAATATGCCAGTGGCACCTAGTAAAACCTTTGCAGGGACCAAGGTGCCTGGACTCCTTGTCTATGGAAGAGGCAGATGGCACCCTCCATCACTTAGAGCAGAGATGGGGTTTCAGTACTCTGGCTAGTTCTCTGTGTACCACCCCCACACACACACACAAGCAGAAGCAGCGTAGTTCAAACCAATGAGAGAGAGGCACAAGAGTCTTGTTTATTCTTCATGCAGTGATGGAATTTCCCACCCTGTTCACCTGCACACTGTTCACCTGCACAGGACACTCTGGGCTACCAAAGGAGGGTGTGGTTGACTGTAGGCCACCCCATCATGCTGTCTAGAGTCATTTGAAGTGGTGCTGAATGAGTTGTACAAACATGGACCTCTGCCCAGTGGTTGCAAGAACATGAGGTTCCTTATTTGGTCTGACCTATCGCAAGACCCAATAGGGTTGCCAACTCCAGCTTGGCAAATTACTGGAAATTTAGAAATGGTGCCTAGGGTAGGTAGAGTTTGGGGAGGGGAAGGAACTTGGCAGAGATGTGATTCCATGGAGTCACATTCTGCAGCTGACATTTCCTTCAGAGGAACTGGTCTCTGTAGACTGGAGATCAGCTGTAAGTTACTCTGAGAGAACTCCAGTCCAGGCCCCAACTGTAGGCTGGCAACCCCAGGGTCCAGTCAAGATCTCTGGACTGAGACACTGGCCTGCCCATTAACTTTCATTCATGCTTGCTTTTTCTTCAGGCAGCAATTGCCAAATCCCTTTCGCAACTCTGCCGGGTTCTGCCAGCAGCCATTGGTGGAATGTGCCAGTGTTTGATGGAGAAATATACTGTGATCATTGTTGATTTGATCCTGGGCAAGCTGGGGCCACGGTTGATCTGCGGGATGATGCTCATGTGTGCCACAGAGGAAAACTGTGGTCCAGGTACAAGGCTACTCAAGATGACCTCTTTCTGCTCCTGAACAGCTCAGTGATACATACACGTATGTTTCTCACCAGGCTGCTTCAAGCTAAGTGGAGACTCTCCAACCAGCTCTTTCTCATTGCCTGTTGCACTGGCAGTGCTGCTTAGGTCAGTGGTGCAGAGAAGGCAACAGACATGCTTTATGCCTCTCATCAATTCCCACGCCTGCACAGCCACCAGCCGAGTCCAAGATAAGTCCACGAGAGGCTGCCAGTGCTGCTAGGAATTGGCTTTCTCCAAGAATCTCTGGCCAAGCACAACCTGTCCCCCCACGTCATCTGCCTACACATCAGGATCTAAACAGGTTGATCTTGCGTTTATTCCAGCACCTGGGCCAAAAAAGGTTGCCTATGCCTGGAATAAGGTGTGATGACCTCCAGAGCGGCAGATGTAGGGTGGAAGGGGCTGCTTAAAACGGGCAGTAAACACAAACACAGACAGATGTTTCCTAAGCAGCACCGAAGATGCCAGGGCTTCCAGAGGGAAAAGGGCAGTGCCCGACACTTGACTGCTCTGGCTGTGGACCACATGGTTCTCTTCCTTCTTCTCTCAAGCCCCACTACTGCCCTTCAATCCTGGTGGACTGACTACTTTTGAGAGAGAGGATAACAGACATTTGCCAGAAGGCTCAAGACACATTTCTCACCCTCTTCTTGCTTAGAGGACTTTGCTAAGAAACCAGCAAGTTCCTTAATCCTCTCCACCCCCACCCCATGTTCATGGAATAGGTAAAAATCATTCGCTGGGGCTGAACAGCAGGTGGCAACCCATCATGTGCAGCTAAGGACATGGGAGAGATGTCCCTTTCAGTATAATGGGCCAATCAGTTTTTCAGCACAGAATTTTTAAACAAAGAAGGGTGCCTTCAAAGTAGCTGTCACAGGTTAGCTGTCAGGGCTGAAATGCAGACAAGGCAGGTTGGGAGAAGAAACAGTTTTGCTTTGAGTGGGTAATTTTCAAGCTGCCTTGCAAGTTAGTACACACTGTGGCTTCCTCTCACCAGAACGGTATGTTTTTCCACTGCAGAGATCAATCCAGGGTCACTCCCTTGCCAGGCCTGCCTCGCTGTCAGCAGCCACGTGAAGTTGTCCATCAAGGCAAACAGCACCCAGGCTGAAATAGAGGCAGCGTTGCTTAGCACCTGCAGCAGCACCTATCCAGACTGGCAAGAAGAGGTGAGTGGCCAAAGAGGGGAGAGAGCAAGCGTGGGCCCAGGACCCCCTGCCCACCAAAGCCCAACAATTAACAGGAGATCAAGCTGTTGCTGCTCAGGCAGTCTTTGACTTCATCATGGAAAGACATTGTGGAATTTTAAGTGGGACAAGAAAAACTCCAGACAACTGGGGGGGGGGGAGAACCACATGACTGCAAACTTTCCATGTTTTCAAGGCATTCTCCTGCTGCGGGGCCGCAGGAAGGGGAGAGTTTGGCGCCAAGAAGAGGCTATTACACCTACTCACAGCTCTAGCTGGAAGGTGCTTGTTCATGGGAAGGCCTTGGCCTCTAGGCTCTATTTGTTGGCTCTCCAGGGGAACTGGTTGGCCGCAGTATGAAGAAAGAGGCTGATCGTCCGGCCCACCAGGGCTCTTATGTTCCTAGCTAAGGCACAGCAAAGAAAGGGGGCTCAGGTAACTCTTGCCCAGCCAAGTGCCATAGAGATCATATATAACAACAGTCTGCAAGCTGCCTAAAATCCACATACAGGCTGCTCAACATTACAAGAGAATGCATTTTTCTTTTTAAGGGGAGAGTAAGATAACTTGGGGAACCCTCCTCCAAAGGCTATATGTGAAAGTCCCTGCATTTGTTTTAGGCAGAGATGTCACCCTCTGTCCTCTCAAACACCTAAGAGGCAGGCAGTGCTAAGATGGGTGGTAGAAAATTCATCAATGTGGCAAGGCTATGGGTGGCACTCAGGCATTTGTAGTTATATTCCCTCCTGCCAGCAGAGTTTCCATTTTCAAGCTGAAAAGTGATCTGTAGAGGCAGTGAAATACCAACAACTTCTTC